AAAGCACCCTCCAAAATACCACCTCCAGTGCTGCAACCTGCCTCCCTCCAAGCAAAACTTCCATTTATCGTTAAGCTGAGGTGTTAGTTCAGGCTCTGTTCCCAGGGGAGTCTGCAAAGCTGCTGTTCAGGCTGTTGGGTGTCTTGAAAGGGAGATAGAGATGGAAAAATTGCTGGGAGGAAATTTGAGGGGTCTTACATGAAGGGAGCTCTCTGGAGAAGCCGTGTTCAGCCTTACATTTGTCACCAGAATAAAACCTTCCCAGGATAAAATAGCTGCAAAAGCGGGAGCTCTCATAGAATGTGATGCTCGCTCCTCCCTAGGTCTCTGCCCAGGGTGGAAAGTTAGAAGCTACCCAATCCCTTCTTCCTTCAGGACACTAATCCTCTAAGAGCCACCAGCATCAACAGCCAGCTCCAACGTTCACTCAAAATCAAGGAGACGCTGAAGGCGCAATGCCAGGACGTGAACGCTGCTAGACTTCCACCAACCTTCATGAAACTTGAGCAAGACCAGACTTCACACCTGATGTAGGCTTCACCTACCATGGGCACGGTGGTCCCCATAATGCTCCTTTTCAGATAAATCAGAAATGTCTAAGAGGTTCCTAATGGACCTCAAGGACTATAGCGTTCTGTTAATATCTCTAAGCAGAACCAAACTGGCTTATTTACTCTTCCGCTGACTCTGGCCCAATTTATTTGTATGCACACAGAATATACTTCCCCCTGTTGGCAGTCGTATTTATTATTTTTAATCTAGGCCCATAAATTGGCAAGTAGGAGAAAGCAGATAAAATGGAAAGAGGAACTCTCGGGAGATCGGTTGGGCTCATTAAATGTTTGGCACTCTGTGATTATCTGTTGGCAATGAAATGCCACTGCTATATTTTAACATGGAACATGATACCTTAATGTACAGGAGAATCTCCCCAGCCCACTTCTGGTACGCTTGCGAGAGGAGAAATTCAATCGTCTGTGACCTGGATTGTATTTTTAATGGCTGCCAAGCTAGATAAAATATTTAAATATTCACTTTTATATCGGCCCACATGGGGATTTGAGCATTTTAGGTTGTGTAACGCAGCATGGCCTACTTTTGGAAGAGTATATGGAAATAGGCACATATATACAAAATATTGAGTACGCAGCATATGGGTCAGACAGCCAGTGTTAATTAGGATGGCACAACCAATTCCAGCAGAGCTAGCCCAGCCAAGGAGTTGGCGTCACTCCTGTTGGATTTCATAGGTCACCTGGGCAAAAAATAGATGAATGCACCTAAAATAAAGATGGTCATCCTCAAACGTGGCTGAGTTCCTCAAGCAAAGGCACCGAGGATGTTGGCCTGCCAGCAGAGCTGGCCTTGCAGGAATGGCTGCATCATGAGATTGGGGCTCTCAGTGCCAGCGTGTGCTTGCCTGCCTCGTGGTGCTGCCACTCTTGGGGCTTCCCAAGAGTGTTGGGAAGAGCAAGGTACGCCATGATCAGACCAGAAATGGGTGTCTACAGCCCACACTGACTATACAGGTTACTTCACCAGCTACACAAGAAACCTGAGCAACAAGCTCAGATGTAGACATCTCACTGGGGAGAGGCTACCTGTGGATCAGCCCCGTCCCTGGTATCAAGACAGCTTCAGTGGAGCTGAGGCAGTTCAGATCCCTGGAAGAGCTGGATCATGATGTCTTCAAGCAATGGGCAATGCCAGGAGGTTATGGTCCTGCTGACTTGCTTTGGAGTTGAGCATGTGAAATGGGCTTGTGATATCAGGGGCTGGGAATTTCCTTAAGCAGAATACAAACGGTGAGGATGTGCTGGGATGTCCGAAGAGGAGAGGATGGTGTAAGAATGTAAAAGCACAAGCACACGAGGGTGAGCCTTGCTCTCTGCGCCCCTGAGGCTCCCAGCTGTGCATCCGCTCTGCGGATGGGACCTGTGCACAGGGCAGGCAAGGCTTGAATTACATGATTGTCGAGCGCTTTGCCATGCAACGGCATTGACCCTGATAGTAGCACGGGTTGACTGACTGCTGCCAATCCCAAGCATAGCAAAGTTGCTGTGAGGCGACAGGGAAGTGGGAGGCTACAGGGACAATCCTGACCCACTGCATGCCAATGGAGTCCTACCAGAGTCATCGCAGTTTTGTGTGACACACATAATGCAACTAGTGCATGAAAAGAAGGGACCCAGTCTTTTAGGGGCACTCAGCTCCTCTCCAGTGCCCACCAGGATCAGCTCAGAATTGGGGCAGTCACAGACCCGAGGGACGAGCCAGCTCCGCATGTCCCAGAGCCCCTTCACGTGCTGGTGGGACTCCCCGGCTCTGCCTGAGCCCCACCTGGGTCCCTGCAGCTGATGCTGCAGCCCTTTGACCACCGTAACAGGTAACGGCAGCTCCGACAGCCCTCTGCTATTCTCTCTCTCACAAAGGATTGTTACTCTTTCTAAATTATCCACATAAACCCAATTTCTCTTCACAGACAAACAGTATCACGATTGCATCTATATTAATAACACTCCACAATAAATACTACCAGGTGACTCTTAAATGTTACTCTGAATTTTTACAAGGCTTTCTGCTGAGCTTGCTCCAGGTCCAAACCCCAGCTGCCTTGCCTAGGAAAGCCCATCGCGGGGGCTCTCTGCCTGGGCAGAGATGCCAGGCTTTGGCCGAAAGCTTTTGCAGCCAGTTCTCTGCATCTCAAGAGGGTCAACGTCAGAAGTGAAAGCTCCTGCTGAACATCGAGCATCAGGAATTTCCTGGTCACCTGCAGGACACCATGTCTCCCTGCCTCCTTTGGTCAATCCTGTTTCCTTGGGTTTTGCAGATGAGCTATTCCGTGCGTCCTATTGCTCTGCCGCTTCTTGCCTGCCCTGCCTGCTCTGCCCTGCCTGCCCACAGCAGGAGCTCGGTAAAACAGGAGGCGCGGAGCCTCCCGGGAGGCTGATGTGGGAACTGGGATTGATCCGTACAGCTAATCCCATACTGCCGGGTCTTCCTCACGCTGGGAGAGGCTGCCCCTTGACAGGTGGAGCGGGACGAGCACCCGAGCAGCTTAAAAGGCATCAGCGCTGCCGAGATGGGGAATTCTGGGGTTAAATCCGAGGATTTTATTTGCGGTTCCCGCTCCAGCAATCAGTCCTGCTGAAGTCAAAGGGAGCTTTCCCTAAGGAAAGGGGGGCCAAACCCAGGGACGTGGCCCACGGCAGGGCACCCCCCACAAACCCTTCCCCAACCACCCTTGCCCTCTCCCACATCCACGCTGCTGCTCCATTCGAGCCCCCCACTCAGCACCACAGCTTGCAGCCCAGATGCGGGGATGCGGGAGGTGTCACATCCAAGGGACAAGAGATCACTTTGTGTCAGTCAAGAGAAGGGAGGGCTCCTGGGGATATTTCTCAGCAGCTGGGCAGGGGGTTCATCGCATCTCGCCATGAAGGGTTTCATACCAGGAGGATAATGAACCGATACCTGGGGCATCGTTCAACATTAGCATTTCTCAGGGTGAACTTAAGCATCAGCCTCTGAGTCTTTTGGGTCCCAGCCATAGCCTCCCACCTCCTTTACAGGCCTGGTCACTCCTAGATAGTCAAAATACTACTTTTGTAGCCATCACATACGTGGCTACTGGGAGAACCGGGGAGGTGGGCTCAGAGCCCAGCTTCTCTCCAGAAGAGATGCAACGTGGGGACTCAGTTTTCCCCCGTTCAGGGACTCGTGGTATATGGGAACACAAGAGAGGATCTCAGGACACCGTGTCGGGCAAATCCATGGCTGGTCCTGGCCCATTTTCTGCTGGTGGGGAACCTCTCCCAGCTCTCTGCAGGCTCTTACTCCTGACTGTGATATTTGCAGTATTCCCCACCCCTTCTCTCTGCCTTCCCGTGCCTCCTCCCTTCGTAGCTGCGTGAAAAGCCTTCGATGAATCACGCTCTATTTTGATGAGCAAACTGGCATTTTCAGCGCCGTGGCAGGGGCCCAGCTCTCCAGGCTCCCCCGTAAGTGCCCGCCTGTGGGGTAAGGGACGGGGCAGGATCAGGCCGGGGGGATTAGTGCCTGGGTCCGAGTTAATCTCAATTGTACGGGCGCAGTTTGTGGGGCAGCAAAGTGCAAGTTGAGAGTTTACCTAAAAGCAGCATTTTGTCTAATTAATTTTTTTTTCAAATAACACTGAAGTGGTGTAGCGCTAAGGCCAAGGAGAGTTGGGCTTAGGGAAGGTCCCTGGACACCTCTGCTCCCTTGCCGGCAGCCCCTTTCCCCCCCGAGGACAGCACACATTGCACCTTTCAAAGCCTGGACGAGCGCTGTGTCTCCCTGCCAGCTGCACAAGCCTTGCCTTCACGCTTTTCTCCCAGAAAACTGGTCCTAAGGATGGGAACGGGCTCAGGTCACCAACGCCTTGGTCTTCTCCAAGGAGCGAGAGCGCGATGGCGACCATCCCTACGCAACTACCGCAAAACGCAGTACGTCGCTCCATGGGGAAGGAGGCTCCTGCCCACACGCAGCCTTTGGAGCTGCCCGATCCTACAAATGCAGGCAGCAGAGCATCCCCAAACCCAGCGCACGGTCATCCCTGCGCACCCGTGGTGACATCAGCTGTGCAATCAGGCTTCTTCTCCAGGAGCTTCTGGTTAACGCGTTTAACATCTAGCTGAAAAAGCACTACTGCCTCCGGGTTTCCCTTCTCTAGCAAAGCAGACTCAGGGCCAGCCTCTGGTCTTGCTCCAGGTGTAAATCTGGAGTAATCCCATTAACCTGCCTTCAGAGCATTTTTGAAGTCATTAAATGTGAAGGTGCTGCTAATTTCTGGCCTCACTGCCTCCGAGGCGTATCCTACCAGTGCTGCTGCTGCCCAAAGGGTTTTCAACATGGTGTAAAAGCAAAGCTCCTGAATGAGCGGGGCCGCCCGTGCTTGTTGGCATCGACGTTGGGGAAGGCGCCTATACACACCTGGTACAGAGCCGGGGAGCTCCGTGCCAGCCCAGCCCTGGGGGCCATCAGTCCGACCACTCGTTATCGTCCAGCTCGGAGTCGTCGTCGGACTCGCTGTACTCCACCGCGATCCGGCGGGATAGGATCGTCGCCACGTCGTTGCCCACGGGCTCTTTTTTGGCCTCCTGTTCCCATTGCTCCTGGACTTTCCGGAGTTGGATTCCTGCAGTAGGGAAGGGGGGAAGGCTTTAGGGGCAACGTGCCCAGCACCCATGGGTGCACCCGATGTGCGGCATCCCCCCAGTTAAAAGTATTGGCTGAAATGAGATGGCTGCAGCCCCCTTGCAGGAGGATGCACGCGATTATAAAGCTACATGAGATAATAATGTGATGCATGCACTTATAAAGCTTTATAATAGAATAAAGCTCCTCCTCTGTTTCCACTCAACCTGAAGAGGTTGAACCTTCTTGAAAATTAAATCTGTCATCGACCTGAAGATTTGCAGGACGGGAAAATGGGAGAAGCCTTGGAGCACATCATCCGCTACAGCCTGGAAGGAGGCCACGTGCACGAGAGCTGCCGGTCATCCCTGGGGGGCTCCCTCCCACCTCTGGTGATGGTTTTCCCCCACCTCCCTCCAACCCCCTGCATTGCATTTCTTTCCCTCCCCAGGTCCCACCTGGGTGCCACCATCTTCACGCATCACCTGGCCACCCAGGGCTCGTCTTGAACTCAATGAAGCCA